GTACTGCGCCGAGGTTGGCTTGACTGCAGCGGGTGAGGGGGCAACTGGAATGCATGCGTTTATGGGTTACTAGGAACCCCAGTGGTACCCTTTTACCCTTTTTGGGTTCTGGGTTCCCATATATAATATACCAACAGAAAAAAGGGTACCCTTATTGTAATATGGTTACTGGGCTACCCTTTGTAGTATGGTTACTGGGCTACCAAGGAGGGTGCCTGCGCACGCCCTGAAACATGCCCAGGACTGCCTGCTTAGCTCGGGGGTTGGCCTTTAAGGGTTTAGGGTTTAGGGTTTAGGATTTAGGGTTTAACCAACCCTTATTACTGGTGCTTAGTAGGGAATAAGGGAACCCGAAAAAATATAATCTATAGTCTAAGCTCCTTAGAGGGGGGGTTATATAGGGGGTTATATAGGGGACTACAATAGGGGTTACTAAGGGGGATACTAGGAGTTCAGTCTATGGCCCACATATTCCCATATTCCCTCTAACCCCCGGTAAGCAACTAGCTAGCTGGAGGAGCCTTAGAAAACGCAGCAGAAGTATCGGTGACATTTTAAGACCGTTCCTGTGTTTCAGGTATCCCCCCCAAGCCGTGACACCCGCAAACCTAAAGGCTTGCGGCCTACACTCCCCCAAACTAACATGGAAACCCAGAAAGCCCCATTTTAGAGGGACCGTAGTCTTTACAGGGCCTCTTTTGGGTTTCCATGTTAGTTTCCCCTGGCCTCAGGCAGCACCTAAACCAGCCGCTGGAGCCTCCATGGTGGCATGGTTCAGGAGTCCTTGAGGGAAGGATTTAGGGGTTTAGGGTTGTGGTAGGGTTTATGAGGTCAAGGGTTCAAGGAGCTTGGGGTTCGGGATTCGCATGGCGCCCCAAGTCCCGTTGGAAGGAGTGAGGAAGTCAGCGCGGATTGGAAGAGCGTCGTTGGCAACCTGCGGGGCCGCGTGACCAAGGGCGGGGTGTCCAGGAAGGTGGAATCTCGGAGTCTGCAGGAAATACCTCCATAGTGGCGAATCACATGGAAGAGATAATCGAAAATGAAATGGAAGCTGGGTTCTTGTAGGGGGGTTTGGGATTAAGGGGACGAGGCGGGCAGTGTGCACCGCAGCTCTTCGTGTCCTTCAAGCCCTCAAATGATAAGCAAGATGAGCAAAACATGAGACCGACACACCCAGAAAGTGACGAAGGTCATGAGGATAGAGATTTGTTTGCACGGGTGTTTCTAAAAAAGGGGGCCCCCCTTTGATCCCAAATTGTAAAGGATAAACCCCCAAACTACCTTCGCATCGAGGAATCTGGGCATGGAGCTCGGAAACCCGTTGCCTACCTCGCCGGCAGCACCGGAGCGGGCTACGACTTCGGAAGGATCATGAAGCCGGATTTTGCTTCAGAATTTTCGGGGCTCAATGTCCCAAACCGTAAATTCTTTGTGCTTCTGTCCCTTAATGTAAACCCATGATTGATGAACCCCCTCCTTTTAAGGGCTTAAATATTAGGATCCCTATTATAATCCCTCTTAAATACACCCATTATACTATAGTAGTTTCCATTTTCTTTTCCATTATCCCTATATTCCCTAAACCCTAAACCCTTATTCTCCCCATTAAGGGGAGGGGGTTCATTAATCAGGGGTCTGGGTTAACCCCTGCAACTCTGAAGTTTCTAAGGTTTAGGGTTGAGGGTTGAGGGTTTAGGGTTTAGGGTTGGGGGTTTAGGGTTTAGGGTTAAGGGTCTAAGCCAAGGAAAAGAGACTACAGTATCTGCTCCATCAGCCGGTATACAGGGAGGAACAAGAGGCGAATCCTGCAGGCCAGAGAGGGGATCTGGCGGCTTCTGAGGTATCAGTGCCAGTTTGTCCTGAAAGTTCAGGATTTTAAAGATCTAGGACCTGAAAGTCTGTCCATTTGGAGGGGTTGGGGCTCAAGTGTGGGGTGGTACGCGGATCTTCCTTGTGATAGGCACGCGTTGACCAACCCATAAGTCGAAGGCTTACCTGTTCAACCTGGACCACTCAAATTCTTTGCCCTCACCCCTGAATCCTAAACCCCACATCTAATAAAACTCCTGAGCCCTGTATCTCACACCTACGGAGTTCAATCACCAACGCATGACCTTCGCGATGCAGTTAACACCCTTTGATTCCCAACCCGAGCCCTCCTAACACTCCTAACACATGGGCCTTGCGCCGTACGCCCTGAACTTCAAAACCTATAAGTTCTAAACCCCATGCGCCCTTGCAACACCTAAATCGTAATTTGGTGAGCCTTGAAAGCTTCAGATCCTGAAGCCTAATTGCCTCTTGTGTTGCAGGCCGGGCATCCTAACTTCCTTCATGGCCACTGGGCACACCGCGCAGGGGTCGCTCACTACGGGACCTGGGTCACTAGCCACGAAGGGCCTGCATCCGAGGACAGCTTTGTTGGGGCTTGGGCTTGTGGTTCAGAGCTTTTTGGGTGCAGCATGTGTTCGGCTTGCGATGGCATCTCTATGATGATGTCTGGCTGTTGTTGCAGTGCAGTCCTGGTGGTATGATAAGGGACCGTTGGGGCCTTGGGAACCCTTTTGTCAATACGACAGGACTGGATCGCGCTCTGCGGGAACCGTGCAGGCCTCGTCTTTCGGGGTCGGGAGAAGATCTCCAATGGCCGGCAACCAGGGGCAGCGTCAGACTTCCACCTCTACATCAACGAAGGCCGCCACGAGTTTTCCGACTTTGGCGTCATGGAGGTTATCGTCTGGGATCGGCTGCTCACAGAAGACGAGATGTTGACCACCATGGAGTACCTAAATTGGAAGCTTGAACATGGCTCGCAGTGATGTCATCTTCTGCCTTCGCTCAAGAGTCACTCGACCAGCACACGAGCGAGGGCGTGCCGAAGCCGAAAGCAGACTTCTAGCTAAGAATGGTCATCCTTAAGCAAAGGTGAAGCTGGAAATTTGGAAAATCATGGGACGACTATGAGAAGCGCCCTCTCTTTCTCTGATCAGATCTGCTTAAGGAAGACTCGGAGGTAAATCTGCTGTTTCGTTTAGCCAGTTGTCTGGATTCGGCAGAGACAGCCAACAAAGCTTCGTTTTGCTTTGGACTCATTGCCAGGGCTTACACCGCAAGAAATGGAATGTATGGACACAGGATCATGGGTGCAAGCAACCTTGCCAGCTAGGTTCAAAACTCGCATGCAGGGTGCAGGAGCTGACTGAACAGTTCACTGATTCCACTGCTAGTGAAGTTCTTTTTGTCAGGATATTGAGGTTCATCGCCTGGACGTACTTGCATGAAACATGTCCACTTCTCTGTGGCAGCAGATGTTCCACCTGCGCTTGCCTTGAAATTCAGATCCTGCGCACCCCTTGCAGCCCGTGCGTGTGAATGGGCATGTGGATTGGTTACTTCAAGGTGAAGTACACATTTAGTTCATTCCGTTGGTCGATTTTGAAGTGCAGTGGTAATGGCTTCATTAGCCTGGCCTGTTTGAGCAGTCATGTATTTGCTCAGTCTGTTGCATGTGCCTCAACGACCCTATCCCCATTCCAAATTCGCTTTGCAAAAAGGAAAAGCGAGTGCATTCATGAAGTCTCCACATGCCTCTAATCAGAATGATGTTCTCATGACACCAGGATCATTCAATTTGTGTGAATTATTGGTAATGCATACAATAACTGAAGCTAGATTACCGTTTGATGGAATGCCTGTATTTTGAAACATATTGATTGCGAGATAGCTTGTGCTTGCATGTATAAGCATCTTTTAAAAATGAATGGAGAAACACGACCTTGCGATCCGTAGGTTCGTAGTTGTTTGCTCTTGCAGCTCTCTGGCATTGACCATGGCACCGTTGAACGCCGTTCCTTGTGCGGCATTGCATTGAGATTTTGGCTTCAGCATGAAACCGCCTCGGCACCATCTTCGATTTAGTTGAGGTGATGTTGACCTTGTTTCAAGAATATGACGTTGTCATTGCTCATTATTCCTTATGGCTGACGAAAAGAATTGCTTACGCATGTGAATTGAATGGAGCTGCAAATGGCGCAGGCCTCGAATCGAACACTGCGTGGCGGGTACAACCAAGAGCGGCCACCTAATGTTCATATGGTATATTCGTTATAAAATGTCATGCAACAGGGCCACCTTAATATTCTCAATAAAAAGGGTATGATGCGTTCCTTCTTTTTGAAAAACAAGAGATAAACACCTTCCCGGACGAAACTCCTCCTGACCCTAAACCCTAAACCCTAAACCCTTTTCCCCAGCCATGGGCCGTCGGCCTGACCGGCAATCGTGTGCGACAGCTCGACGCGTCCACAATGATGCAAAGAGGCCGGACATTCAACATGGGTTTAGGGTTTAGGGTTTACGTCCTATAGTCTAAACTCCTTAAAGATGGGTTATATAGGGGATTATATGGGGAGTATTATACGGGCTATTAAGGGGGATACTAGGAGTTTTGACTATAGCTTATATGATAAATGAGGCTTACGTCCGAGATGCCCTTGGTGTTGACGGCACATTGGCTGAGCTGTGCTTTAAGTAAGCTTGTATTACAGTCTATCTGATACACAGGCAGGACAAATAGGGACGTTTACAAGATCCCACCATCGCACTTTGGCCTTCATCTTCCTCCGATCAACAGAACAAGCCACAGATTATGTTGTTGTGGTGCTCGACCGTTGTCGTTATTGTAGTGCCGGCAGGATATAGCAGCAGCAGAAGCAGCAAGGTTCACTAGGAATGCCCGGGATGAAGGACGTTATAAATCTCATATCCGGAGTGTTTCGTCATCTGCCAAACCCAAATTTCTGAGACAAAAGTCCTGACCTAGAAATCTGGGAGGCTTTCAGCATGCCAGTTTGCGTTTTGTTTGTCATTCGGGATTCTTCGAAGCGGTCTCCTGGGCCTACAATACGGTTCTGTATCAGGGCTGAAGAGCAACCCAATCTGTCATTCTTCCGAACTTCTCGGTGCTGATCTCAAACACCTTTGCCCTTGAAGACCAATTGAGTAGTATTTTATTGGGGATACTATGGTACCCAATATAGTGTAAGATTCTATCCTCCTTTTCGGGTATAGTATTTTAAATAAGGAATATAATCTTACTAGGTTCAACCACCAAAAAAACACTACTCAATTGATATCAGGGGGTGGGCAGGTTTGACGTAGGAGCACGGGATTACGATCCAAAGGCAACACTATCTGATTCAAGCCAGGAGAGGTGTGTCGCCTCCGTTTGCCCAGCCCTGAGTTACACAGACATTCCGCCAAATATCGATGCATGATATGTGTTTCAGCTTAGTGGTTTACAACTTTCATGGCGTCTCGGCTTTTAGCGTCTAGGATGTCATAAGTTGGCCCTTGATTCCTCGGCTTGCAGAGAAGGACAGCCCTAGACCCTGAATCGTGTTCCGCCCGAAAGGCACCACGCAGGGAATCCTACTGTAGGAACCATTGGTGGGATGCTTGGAATAGACTTCCGTTGCTCATGCAGCAAGAAGGCGTCCAACAAGCGATGAAAGTTGTTTCGTTCTCCGGGCTCATAGTGATACGGCTTGGGATTTCGAAGTCATGCGTAGGGGCAAATTGGCAGATTTCAAGCCCCCCCTTAAACGTCATACTCCAAACCAGATGCACCAACACATAAATAATAAGTCTACACAGATATGGGCTGATATAGGTAGATATTTATACATGTCAAAATTGATGTGATATTGGAAATTGATGCAGGCGGAGGGCTCGGCGTTTTCTTAAGTCGGGGGGCTTATTGGACACAGCAGCGGGATGCTTCTCAAATCTTAGCACTTGTTTCTTGTCATGGAATCTCTGAAAGCGCCGCCCTTGAATCCTGCTCCCCCCCCTCTTGGCAAGAGTGGTTTGCGTAGCGGACGCGTAACAGGCTTAGCAAGCCCCTGAACCAGAGTCAGATCTTACTAGGCTGCTGGACCAGCCATGGGAGTCTAGTCTTGATAAGTTGTCATGATGAGTTTGCCCCAATTCGTAAACCATAAATTGTTAACAAAGGCAATCCAGCAGAAACGCCACATCTTGCCCGCGTTTGCACAGGTGCCTGGGCTACATTGAAGAATGTGTTATGATGCTGGATTCTTGTCGTGTAGACTGGTTAAAGGGAAGTGTAAGATTTCCTCGCTCCATTGTATGTGGATGAGGTGCAGCAGCTTCTTCGAGGCAAGCTTGCATGTGGCATGTTGCCTCATGCGCAGATCCAGTCTCATGAAGCAAGGCCTCGTGCACAGTTTATTTCAAAGCTGGTGCTGAATCTTCAGATTCAGTGGTATCACTGCGCCTGCGTCAGCGTTCCTCAGTATAGAGAGCTCCACGTTGTCGGGAGCACCTCTTTCATCACTTCGTCATGAGACCTGTGAAAGCTCCCAATGCTGGATCCAAATGTGAGATTTCAAACCCGAGATTGTATACTATGCCGAAACAATGACGGAAAACTATACCGAAACAATGACGGAGCAGGGCTGTGGATGCTCTTGGGTTTTTCTTGTTTAGCTGAGAATGTTGCGCAGTGATATCTTCTGACGTGGGCGGGGTCATGCCGACGTGCAGAAGAGAAACTCCGCTGCTTGTAAGACAATAAAGTTCCATTTTCTTTTCAATTATTCCCATATGATCCCAATGTACTATGGTAGTTTCGATTTTCTTTTCCATTATCCCTTCGTGCGTTTCGGCCTTTTGCATCAGCTGTGAAGCCGCCAGAACCTTCAGCTGCATCTGTGCTACGTGCCCGGAGGACTGCTAGCATGAGGCCATGCTATGTCATGTAGGAATGCTTGAAAGATCGCCTTCAAGGTGCCCAAAACCTCAAGCTTAAGATCCAAACCCTAAACCCTTAACCNNCCCTAAACCCTAAACTGCGCCCAGGGACTAGAAGGCTGTTGCCTGAAGTGCCAGCACCCCCACTCGAGCTCATCGTTCCGGGTGACAGCGGACTTTTTGCCCGACATGGCGGCGGTAAGCTGGTCCTTCTGACTCCTAAAAGGTCTAGGGTTTAAGGGTTTAGATTCGCTCAGGGTGCACAAGCTCCAATTCTTGATGGGCGGGTGGTACCCAAGCACAGGGTACAGTGCGAGATGCCTTCAAACAAAACATGCAATGGTCTCAGAAACGCTCATGAAGATGACGGGGTCCGAAGCGCAGAAGACGCACCTAAACCCTAAACCCTAAACCCTAAATCCTAAACCCTAAACCCTAAACCCTAGCCTTGGAAGCTTTTCTCCTGACTCAGCCTTCCGAGCAACACCGCTTCGAGCGCCCTTCACAGATTCCTGGTTTCCCAATCCAAAGCCCAGAGGGTTGGGACCCTGAACCCTGAACCGTAAACCCTAAACTCTGAAGAACTGAGATCCCTGAAGATGTCTTAGGAATGCCACTGTGCATTTGTATAGGCTGCAGAACTGCGCACCCACGGCAGTGCTGATTCTGCACTTTCTTGCAGTCTTGCAAACAGCTGATAGGGACCAGAAGTTGAAGGGGGGGATCTTCGGAAAATGGCCCTAAACCCTAAACCCAAAACCCTAAGCGGGGGATCCTTGGGATGATTCATCCACTAAAGGTTCCCAGGCAGCAGAACCAGAGAGTTTTGCCCAAGGTGCAGCTAGCATGCAGCATAGGAAAGAGCCGCAGGATAGTATCATACAACAAGGCCTACATGCTTAGCCCTGGATGTTTGGGGCATTGATGCACCGGCGCCCCTAAACCCTAAACCCTAAACCCCTAAGGCCTAAACCCCAAACCCTGAACCCTAAAATACACCCCCAAAGGACATGCCTTTACTTTTGGCGGAAGTCTTGACGTAGCC